AAACATTTGTTCTATTTCCCATTTATGTCTCACTCTGCAATATTAAGGAAAAAAACCCCAACAACAAAAAAAAAGAAGCAAAAAACCCCCCAGCCCCTCCCCAAACCCCGAATAGTACGTCTGATGGGAAAATAACCATGCGTTCCTCTTCCTGAAGAACTAGAAAGCAAAGCAACCCAACTGCAAGGCAATGGAGGCATTCACTTCCAGTTCACAGTATTGCAGTTAGAAGTACAGTGAGGTCTAGGTAAGTGATGGAGCAGGAGCTGCCTGGAGCAGGGAAGGAGGAGGTGTTCACATGACAATACAGCATTGACAGCGCTTTTTCTTTTGTGTACCTGGGGCAGCTTCCAAGGGCAGGCTCTCTTCCTTCCCCTCGGGAGAGGAGGGCTCTGTCGTGTCCGACAGGGGCCTGCCAGAGACCAGCTCAGCGGCGTTCCCGTCCATGGTGGAGACGTCTGTCACTGTCTTCTCCCGCAAGGACTTCTCGTCGTCTTCGTCGATCAGGACCAGCTCTGCCTTGATGGTCTCGTCGTAGCCCAGCACTTTCTTCGTCTCCTCTTCATCATCGATGTTCTGGTAGCCCATAAATATCATTGTCACTGGCTGGTCTGCGCTGGCCTCCAGAGCTTTGCCACCGCAGGGTTTGTCTTGGGGCTGAGGATTCACAGCATGCCCTTTGCTGGGTTTGTGTACCATTTCCAGCTTTGCCTCCTTGAAGAGCATTTGCTCCTTCATATGGCTAAGGTTTCCATCGGCTACTGCATTTCTGTCTGACACAGTCATTGTTTCATACCCTCCTTTTACACTTGATTGTCCAGCTTTTTGCATAAGTTCATCTACGTCCTTTGAGCTTAATTTATGTACTCCATTTTCTACTACTGTGCCACCAGAGTGAACCTCATAGACTACCTTGGTACCATCATCATAGACTTTGAATCCTCTTTGATGGGCCTCATCTGGGCCAATAGGTGAAGCAGAGACAATCTTGGTCTCTCCTGTCTGTTTGTCTTTCTCCACATTAATTTCCATGGTGCACAAAGCTTGAATGAAAACAAGAGAGGAAGTGCATGTTACAACAAAAAAAGCCAGTGAATGGTTAATTGCCAAACAGACAAAGAAAACTACGGTGCCCCTTTTCCTACCTCCTGCTTCTAACGGGCCAAGCATTCTCCATTAGAGGTGGGACGCAAGGCAGTGGACAGAGATGGTTATTACACTGCAGCTTTTTATGCAGCTGGAGGCTAGGCATACCTGCAGCAAACAGGACCTAGTCTTCCAGCTCACGCCACGTGCAGCTGTCTCTGATCAATTAGGAGCACCAAGAGCACTTGAGTTAGGTGTAATTTAGACAAAGGGAGGTGACAGCATGCAGGTTGCCCTCAACCTTTCCATTCTGAACTTGCCTCAAAATTCAGAGAGAAACTCATCTCCAGGAATCTCTCTACCCTCTTCTCCTCCTCTGCCATCAAACTGCCAGTTAGCTGGTAACACGTTTTGGTTGCTGCAAGTAACACTCAGACTGTTTTATTATCAACGCTTGTTCTTGCTTAACTCTTCCATCCGTAGCATTCAAAACATTTTAGAGAGGTGAAGAAACATTGTTTACCCCTGTTCTACAGGTGGGAAAACAAAATCACACAGGAATGGGACAATTTCTCCCGCAGATGCGTGGCAAGGCAGGTCTCAGTTTCCACACCAAGGCATCGACAGTGACCTCTGCTTGCAGGTTAAGAGAATGTACAAAATGGCCAAGAAGTGCTCCTTCATTTATTTGCATTAGGCCCTGAGCACCATTGCCAAAGTTGAAGAAAATAGTAATAATGAACTGATTTTCAAAGTGTCATGAAACAACAGGTAAAAACATGCGTGTGAGGGATGCTGCTTTAGAATAGCAAAGGAGCTTTTCTAGCAATTAAGAAGGACGCAGTAACAAGATGAAAATTGTAAAGACCACATGGTAGGAATAGACAGGCAGTCTACACCGCTCTACACCCATTTTGAGATGTGATGGCATCTCACTAGACAGCTTTTCAAAGAAAAATGTGCAAAGGTCACACAGATTTTCCAGAACTGGTCATCTGTTTAAACATTCCATATATACAGATGAAGACATGTTGGCTCCTGGACAGACATCCACAGACACTTAGTTACAAATCACCACAGGCAGTGACAAGTGTTTGTGAAACTTACGGTGACCATTTCCACCAATGAACCTCAATGATACAACCATGATTTGTCTTATCTGGGGACACCAGAAACTGACGTGTTGGCTTTTTTTCCTGACTTATTTTCAAGCAAGTACAGAATATCCTTGCCCTAAAAACCAATGTAGCTTGGTATGCTTGTATTTAGAAAAACATGAGCATAAAAAAATTACTATTGCTTTAATATATTCCCTCAGTCTTATTATTCACACACAGTAGAATATTTCTTTCTGTATCCTTAAAGCAAAGTATTTCATCAGCAATAGGAAGTTTATCATGATATGTATCATGACCCCCCCTATAGCTCTAGACAGAAAATTCATGTATTGCTGAGTGGGTGGATGCTGGCCCCTGTGAGGCTGATCCCCAGGAGTTCAGTCTGGTAGGCAGCCCAGCCAAATGGGGTCTGGCCATCTATGTGCTGTGTGCATCTGCTCAGACCTTGGTTGGCCCTGGAAGGGCTGGTTAGGTCAAGCGCAACTCCACACAAACACCTGCATGGGGCCGGAGGATGGAGGTGCTGGTGGGTGAAGGAGCATTGCTGCCTCTGAGAGCAAGGCGTGGAGTGGGCTGCAGGAGCAGGGATCTCACCTTGGCCATTGCAAGCTAGGGGAATATCCCTGAGGACTGTGTTTTACCATGGCTTTGGGAGGTTGATGGACTAGCTGTGTCCATAGCTCTCATGACCCTGAGCACAGGACGCCCATTGTCACAACAAAGTAGGGATACCAGTTTTCTGATCTCCCTTTCCGATGCCTGGCCATCCCACAGCAGCCCCAGCAGCCAGGAGGAGGCTGCGGGGGCGAGAGCTGGGCTCTGCTATGGGGTGTGCAGCAGGAGACTGAGGGGCAGCCGGCATGGATTGAAACAGGGTAGATTTAGGCTGGAAATAAGGAAAAACGCTGTTTTTCCAGTAGCAGTTAAGCCCTGGCGCAGGTTGCTCCAAGAAGCTGTGGCAGACTGCACCATGGTGCAGCTCAGAGAGCAGCTGGCATGGATCACTTGCTCAGGACTGTCCCAGCCCAGGAGCTGGGAAGTGTTCTTCAAGTCTCATGCAAGTAACTCTGCCCTGAAGCCTTTAATCCAACTTACAGGGGTAGTAAAACAAAAAGATGCAGGTGTCCCCACTAACACTCTGGAATTAGCTCCCTCCTAGGTGCAGTTTCTTGGGTGGGTGTGAGGAGGAGGAAGAAAGGAAGAGGAATTCTGCATATTGGCTTGGCCCCCAGGTCTTGGGTGAGTGGGCTCCGAACACCACTTGACCTTGCCAGGGCTGCTCAGGCACATATTGTTCAACAACTGCAAACATTACAGAGGTAAAAGTAGGGGTCGTCTAGCCTATGGTGCACATGCTAAAACTGACACACTGGCAGGTTTTTGAGTGGCAGCCAGCTGAACTGAAGCAAAGCTGAACTATGAGGGAGCACCAGCACACACAGAAAATCATCTCTGATGAGCAGAAGTTCCTGATTTGTCCTGAGCACCGCAGCCCTGCAGAGAGGGCACTGCCAGCCCACTGAGCGGCCACCTGCTACCTTCTTGGTGAGAAGCAGCATCCTGAGCTCCCTTGGAGCTCCTGTGCTTCTTGTCTTCTTTGAAAAATAAAAACATTAGGGTGGGCATGACTTTTCAGAAAAGGCTGCTGATTTTCCTGTGAAATAGTTGAGTACCGTATTATTGCATACATTTTTAGTGCAGAAGAGGGTGCAATCTGCCAGACCCTCCCTGTTTTGATGAATAAATTTCATTCAGTAGTGTGCATTAAAAGAAGGCTTGTATAATGGGCCTGAATTAAGAAGCAGATAGGGAAAATCTGATCGTTAAATCACGTGGACCTGGCCATATTTAAGAAGAGTTGCAAGATACATCTTTTTATCTATGGTATGGAGTACTGATAAGTTACAACATCCTACTGATTAGGAAGACTTTGGGCAACAAGTTGAAGCACCGTTTGGAAGACTGCCCTACTGGCTGATCTGATCTAGAAAGTTAACAGGTGTGGTCCCTGTGTATTTTATGTTTGGCTAATTTGTTTAAGCATTTGCCACCGTCAACATTTTCTTTTCATTTCTTATACTGTGATTTCAGCAGCAGTGGTTTTAAGATATTGACGTAACTTGCGGTTTATGACCTGCCCCAGGGATGGCATTAAAGCTACTTGTGCAAGTAAATGCGTAAATACACGCGAGTTTCTTAGAAAGCTGTTCATTAGTGAAACACATTGCTATGGGAGAAGTGAATAACAGAACCTGGCTTATCTGCCTATATGCATTATGTTCATTCTCTGCAGGAAAACCTAGCAGCCCAGCTTGTCAAAGTAGCTGAAAATTGAACTAATGTTGATTTCTAAAATGTCTTTATTTAACCAGAGCTTATTTACTGCAAAATGTGCTCTATTAATGCAATGCAAAACTATTGGACAATAGAGTTGAAACTGAAAGCAGTACTTGAAGATGACAGCCTGTAGTTCACAAGTACAAGTTTTCTGCACGAGCTTTAATTGCAGTGTAGCATGATGCAGTGCTTCACGACAAGAAGGTCCCAACGTGCAGACGAAAGGATCTGGCTTCTGCCTGTTACGTGGATTCAGAGGCTGTTCTTTAAAACAAATAATCTTAATAGACTTTGAGCTTCTTTTAAGATGGATGATGCTTACAGTCTACCTTTGAGCACATATGCTGGTGCCTTTTATTTAAGCTGTTGCACACACACGATACCCTTATAAGGACTACAAGGCTTCTGGGTCATTTGAAGAATGAAAGAAATTATTGTATTCTTGGTGTTGACGAAATGGCACAAACACACAGGGAAAAGCTTACTTTTAAGACAGATCAGGATAAGCACTGGTGGAAGGGAAGCTTTTGGAATGGCTTGCAACAGGACCTATGAACAAAATGACATATCCCATAGCTGTGTACAGTGTCTTAGCTGCAGACATTGCTTTGCTATGCTTGTTAACCCATTCTTCAAGTAAGCCACCTTTCATTCCCACTCCTTGGGACACCTAAGTAGCCACCAGCAATTTTGTCTTGAGATAGGGAATACATTGTTTAGAAAAGAAGGATCTTGAAAATAAGAAAAACATTTTAACAGCTTTTAACAATCATATTGTTACATTTAAGACACATACTCAATGTGAAAAATAAGTGTTAGAAAGTATGACACAACATGCTGTAATTCTCCCCACCTTTTCCCCAAGACGAAAGAATGATATACAAATAAGTGTAAAATGACATAAAAGTTTGAAGCACTTACGGGGTCTTGTGAGTGCCTGTCTGTCTCACTTATCATAATGGGAGTTGCATGAGTACAATGGAGAAGGCAAAACCTTGGCCTTAATACCATGTATTTGTATCAGCAGAGATGGAGACACTGAATGGACCCATTTCCTATGCTACCTGTGTGTAGTTCAACTACATTGTTTTGAGAGTACTCATTGCTGCTCAAAAAGCCTTGACTTATTTACAAAATACAAATCAAGCGGCATTTCCTGGCATTTAAATGATATCGGGACACCAGACCCATTAAGGTAATATAACAAAAAAAGTTCATGGCTACTGGACTGGTATTATAATAGTTTGCTCCTTGAGACTTACCAGCTACTCTGCTTGCTCCGTCCCGCCCAGGAACTGGCTCTGCTGTTCGTGAATAGAGGGTTGGGAGTTCAGGGATCTGGGAGTAAATGTAATTTACTGCATCTGGTGTCAGAGAACAGGAAACAGTTAGATTCGTGCTACGAGCCCCAGTGGCTTCATTGCTTAGACAGCAGAGTGTTGTCAGCCCCGACAATAGTCGCTGGAGCTTTGTACTAGATAATTGGATCAAAGCAAACAAAGTGCAAAGTCACTGTCGTGTGATTGGTGTTCAATAGACTAGCTGAGGCAGAGGGGAATGGGTCCAGATGACTTATGTCAGTTGAACACATAAAATTATTTGTCAGGAGGTTCTGGATTTGTCAAGTCTGTGACCTTTAAAACGGGTAGGAGAGAGGGGGAAGGTAAGGAACAAACCTGACGTGATACCCAGAACTCATGACATTTCAAATAGAGATATAAAAGCCTAAAAATTCTAGTGTTGACTGAATGGGATGAAAGGCCAGCTCTTTTGCACTGCTTGTTTCCGATATTATTGAACCAGCATTTGGCTTTTTGTTCTTAAAGCTGAAATTTAGCTAGTAATGAAAACACATATAGACACTAACAGAGTGCCTGTTGTGATCTTCAGTAGGTATTAAGCGCCTGCCAATTCTGCAGTGCCATCATTCATTAACAAACCCTGAACTGGCAGAAAGCTATCTTAAAGGACTGACTTGTTTTACATTTGAGCTTATGGTTGTTTAGCATAAGCTAAATATGTTCTTTAGAAGAGACATAGAAGAAATTTACAAATATTTACCAGGAGATATTTTGTGTCTGTGTTAAATATAAATAGATATAGCATATATCATTCTGCTAGCAGGCAGTGAGTGAGCTAAAAGCAGAGCTCAGAGGAGAGATGTGCAAATAACTGACTTACAGTTCAGGCGCCAAACCAAGATGAAAAAGAAAAAAAAAATTAAAAAATCACATCCTTTCCTATCAACTGGAAATGTTTTCAGTTTTGTATGGAAATGGTTAAATTTCTGTTCAGACATAAGAAGGTTTTACTGCCTTAACAGCCTGCAGTGGCCACCAGTGCTGCTGGGTGCAGGAAGAAAATAATCACAGTCCCCAAGAAGACACTCCATCCCTCCATGGAGCACTGTAGGTGACTCAGGTAAGGAGGTTCCCTTTCCCCCCTTCCTGCGTCAGAGGAGGATGGCACAGAGGCACAGTGCAAATTCATTCCAGAAAGCCAGGAGGTTAGTATGTACGTTCAGTTTGTAACAGATGAATTTGAAAAAAAACTCGGCCAGGGAAATATTATTTATTTCATACTTCAGTGGACAAATGGCAGTCTTGGCAAATGGGCTTTTATATTTTCAATGCATACGGTTTCCTCAAAGTTTTTTATTTTTAGCAGTACAGCTTAGGAGAAATAATTGTTTAGGACACAGCTGACTGACCAATGGCCACCAACAGCTGCCTTCTTTTGCGGGGTTGCTTGCCCCTGATGAGAAATCGGTACAATGCTTGGTGTTGTTATTCTGGGAAATATCACCAGCAAATGAGCAGGCCATTATTGGAAACTGAAATAATTTCTCAGGAGAAAGAAGTGGGCACTGTGTTTCTGGGCCAGAATAAGAAGGCACTTTGTATTCTGGAAATGGCAGAAATTTAGTAATTATTTACCCTGTAGAGTGTACTGCTGGAACAGTAGTTTCATCCAGCGACTTGAGCGACAGACTTATCTGTCCACACTTGGGCATAATCAGTGCAGACTTGTGTGGCTTAACTAATCATCCTTACTTCTTTTTCTGTCCATGAGAATAAATAGGCACACTTAGGGTACAGTTCTCATCCCAGGGAGAGATGAGAGGAGGAGGCAAAATCCTTTGCAATTATTTGTTTTTCCCCAGTGCCTTTACAGGGAACTGAGCGGATCATCCTGGCAGCTAGCATCGCTGACGTCTAGCAGTAAGCAAGATCAGTTGTACAGCTTGATGGTTAAACTCTCACTTTGATGCTGTACATACCTGTGGACCTTAGTAAGTTGGGTTTTTTTTTGCATCCTGCGTTAGAAGACAATACCTAGGTAAGTGTTAGGTGTTGTTAATATTGACTCAGTTCAGAAACTTCTCTGGATGTTACTTAGAATAAAATATTAAAAAGTTAGCTTCAGGGCTCCTCACGATCTCTCATTATTGTGCTGAGAAGGGAATGCCGTAGTGGGGGTAGTGGGGGTAGGATTCTCATGTATTTTCTTCTGAAGCTAGTGGTGGTGCTACGTGTCAGAAATGGGGAATTTGACTAGAAAAACTTGGGGCTTGGATGATTCTGCCAGTTCCTGTCTCGTCCCCCCCGCAAACAAAAAGAACATGCTTATTTCCCTTTATTTCACTGGCAACAAGGCCTGTTTCATTTAGCGCCTTTAAAAAGGATATAAGAGATCAATTTTACAAGGAGCAGATGAGATGCAAATCAGCATTTCGTTTGCATGAGAAGTAAGACAGAACATAAATTAAAGCATTTGAACTAACTGCATTCAATATCTTAATTTCAACATTTGATGAGTTATTAATATCTAAGGATGCCATAAAACATGTCCTGTGGCTTTTTGTACTACTTGCAACAAACTGCGTTTTAGGACTATGGCACTCTTCCATATTACCAGACAGATGAGTGCTTGGGAAACCATATGGGGCCAGATAATCCTTCAAGGGTGCTTACACAAAACTAAACCTTCAGAACTGCTCAGAATAGCTCCCACGCAGAGGCTTGTGGCCAAATGTCAAAAGAGCTCATTTTCCAAGGGCTGGATTATCTTTAAAAATCTGACTACCACTAAAATTAGTGCCTAAGGTCTTCTGCAAATACTGTTTCCCAGGACAGGGCTGTTCCACCTGCAAAGCCCTCCAGGGCTCCATGGGGCTACGTCAGAGGGAACAGAGATTATGACTCCCACCACCATTTGTAAGACCACGAGTGGAGGCTTAAGCAGGAAGCTTTGCTAAAAACTGAATAGTCTGGCCCTGACTTAGTGAATCATGCTTTAAACTAATGAACTTGGGGGGTGGGGTCCACAGCTGACACCTGTATATCCATAAGCAACAGGGTGGATGAGTACACCTATCAGAGCAGTAAGGAATGCTCCCCAAGCCTTTCCAAAGGCAAGAACCCTAGGTTCAGCCACCTCAAGTGCATGTACACCAATGTATGTAATCTGGGCAACAAGCAGGAGGAAGTACAGCTCCGTGCCCAGTCTGAGAGATGTCATAGGAATCACAGAAACTTGGTGGGAAAACTCACATGATGGGAGGAGCACAACAGATAGCTACAAACCCTTTCAGAAAGATAGGAAGGGAAGAAGAGGAGGTGGAGTTGCACTTCATGTAAAAGAGAAATTTGAATATATAGAGGAGAGCTCTGAAGACCATGCCAGTTCTATTGAATGAATGCCTTTGGATTAAGATTAGAGGGATCATCACCAAGGGGGATCTTATGTTAGGTATCTGTTACTGACCTCCCAATCAGGATGACAAAGCCGACAAAACCTTACTTTGGCTGCTTGAGAAAGTCCCAGGCCAACAGAACCTGGTCCTCATGGGTGGCTAAAATTACCCAGACATTCGTTGGAAAAAATGGCAGTAGTGCACTGTGTCCATCAGGTTCCCGGAACGCATTGAGGACTGCTTCCTGCTACAGATGCTGGACATGCCAACTAGGAGCAGCACGTTGCTAGATTTACTGCTCACACACCGAGAAGACTTACTTGACAACATAACTACCAATGGTAGCCTTGGATACAGTGACCACAACATTGAGGAGTTTAAGATCCTGCTGAGCACACTGAGGACCAGCAGTAGGACAAAGACCCCAAATTTTAGAAGAGCCAATTTCAATATGCTCAGAGCCCAGCTGCGAGGGATTCCATGGGAAGTATCCACGGAGGGCAAAGGGGCTTGTGAGTGCTGGGAGATATTCAAGAAGTGCCTGATGAAAGCACAAGAATGGTCCATCCTCTACAAAGGGAAAGGAAGAAGGCTGAACAAAAGACCACCCTGGCTTAACAATGAGCTTTTAAGTGTAATTAAAAGCCAAAAAGAAGCATACTGGCTATGGAAAGGCAGCCAAATAGCCTTTGAGGACTACAAGAACCTTGCTAGAGCATGCAGAGATGCAGTCAGGAAGGCTAAGGCTCAGCTAGAACTGAAATTGGCCAAAGATGTCAAGTACAACAAGAAAGGGTTCTTCACGTCTGTGAGCAATATGCAGAAGCACAGGGAAGACATAGGCGCATTACAAAACAGGGCAGGGAAACTAGTCACTAACAATGCTGACAACGCAGAGGTTCTCAATACCTTCTTTGCCTCTGTCTTTACTGGCATAGCTGAACCCCAGATCACAAGATCAAGCAGCTACACAACTCGTGTTGACCCACCAGTAGTGGAGGAAGGGCTGGTCTGCAGCCTCTTGCAAGGGCTCAACCCACATAAACCCATGGGTCTGGTTGGAATCCACCCCAGGGTGGGTTAAGAGAAGTGGCTGACATTGGTACAAGGTGACCGTCTATGATATTTGAAAGCCATGGAGATCAGAGGATGCCTCTGGTGACTGGAAGAGGGAAAATGTCATACAGGAAAGGACCAAAAGAGGACCCAGGAAACAAGACGGCCATTACTCATACTTCGTTCCCTGGGAAAGTCATGGAATGAGTCCTCCTAGAAACTATTACAAACCAGATGAAGCAGGTGATTTGGGCAAGCCAGCACAGATTTACCAAGGGCAAAGCATGCCAGACTAGCCTGATCACCTTCTACAACAAAGTAACATCTTCTGTCGACATGGGGAGAGCAGTGGATGTTGTTTACTTGGACTTCAGCAAAGCGTTTGACACTGTTTCCCACAGCCTTCTCCTAGACAAACTGGCAAGATACAGGTTGGATGGGTGGTCTGTTAGATGGGTGGGAAATTGGCTAACAGGCTGCACTCAAAGGTTGGTGATCGATGGTTTTTAGTCAGGTGGCCAGAGCTGCTGTAATTGTGGCAGCCACAGATGCAGATCAAATTGAAAAGTTACTTAAAATCCTACAACTGAAAAACAATTGCTGATGAGTTTTTACGGGACACATGGAAAGCACTCTATAAAAATCTGTACTTGACTCCTCTGAGGACATGCTTGTCTCCTTTGCTGTTGGGCTGCGCAGGTGATCCAGATCAGAGAAGAGAAAACCAGAAAGGTCTCTAAGCAATGTGCTGGGAACTAAACAATGCAGGACAGGTTTCCAGAGCCACAGCTTTGCCAAATATATGTTAATACATACCAAATTCAAACAGAGGTTTGTGCAAACTGTAGACTTACTATAGTTGTGGCTTCTGTATGTTGGCTGAAGTATAGAGTCATAGAATCATAGAATAGCTTTTAAAGGTCATCTAGTCCAACCCCCTTGCAATGAGCGGGGACATCTTCACCTAGATCAGGTTCCTCAGCGCCCCATCCAGCCTGACCTTGAGTGTTTCCAGGGATGGGGCATCTCTGGGCAACTTGTTCCAGCGTTTCACCACCCTCATTGTAAAAAATTTCTTCCTTACATCTAGTCTAAATCTACCCTCTTTTAGTTTAAAACCATTCCCCCTTGTCCTGTCGCAACAGGCCCTACTGAAAAGTCTGTCGCCATCTTTCTTATAAGCCCCCTTTAAGTACTGATAGCCCACAATAAGGTCTCCCTGGAGCCTTCTCTTCTCCAGGCTGAACAACCCAACTCTCTCAGCCTTTCTTTATAGGAGAGGTGTTCCACCCCCCTGATCATTTTTGTGGCCCTCCTCTGGACCCGCTCCAACAGGTCCATGTCTTTCTTGTGTTGAGGACTCCAGAGCTGGACGCAGTACTCCAGGTGGGGTCTCACCAGAGTGGAGTAGAGGGGCAGAATCACCTCCCTCGACCTGCTGGCCATGCTTCTTTTGATGCAGCCCAGGATACGGTTGGCCGCCTGGGCTGCGAGCGCACGTTGTCGGCTCGTAAGTAGCAGCATGTAGTTTGCATACAGATGGCCAAAGACTGCAGAGGACAAATTTACACCTGAGGCAAATTCAGCAGTCAAGGGAGTTATATCAGATCTTAATGTGGCTTTTATTTTATATACACATTGAGCCACAAACATACACACATACGGAGTGAGAGCTCTCTCCTTTCCGTTGTTCATGAGGTGCATGCAGCATAGCACTACCATAGCGTGCCTGGTTTTGACTGCAGACCTGAGCAGCAACAAATGATGTCATTCCTAGCATCATCTCAGGCTTTGTTTAATGGAGAGCTTGTCAGTGACAAGCCACCAAGGAACTGGCAGAAGCACGATTGCAGGTGACAGGGCCACAGCCCCCGGCCTCAGCATTTCTGCTCTGCTTTCTCTCACGTGGTGATCTATGAAGACAAAGTGTGTTTGTACCCTGGAAAACGTGGGATTTGTGTTTATTGTGCCTGGATGACTTCAAGCTCAGAAATGCCCATCGCCAGACACAGCTGTTTTCTGGGAAGGGTGGGAAGGACACAGAGAGTCACTTGATGGGCACAGGTGCTCACCACCACTTCTCCCCTCCCCTCGCAGCCTTCGCCTGGACCCCTCTGGGCTCTGAGCTCCCTCTAGTTGTGCTTTCTGCACACTCAGAAGCTCTGTCACCACCACCATCATATAGAATCATAGAATCATTAAGGTTGGAAAAGACCTCTAAGATCATCGAGTCCAACCGTCAACCCAACACTACCATGCCCACTAAACCATGTCCTAAGCGCCTCATTTACATCTATATTATGCCATATATATGGCATAAAAACAGGCACACAGACACAATGATGAGATAAATCACTTTCTGTACCATCATCGCATTTAGAATAAAGGGAGGCATGGACACAGGACAAACTAGTGTGAGACTTATGGACTGGAAGTCTTTCAAGATGTGGCAGCAATTGAAGAAACTGCCCCAACAGCTTGGTGTTGGTTTGTGTCTGTGTTTTACACAGCATTCCTGTATTATCCAACGGCTCTTAGCATTTTCCTCTGCAGCATATGTTACAGATGGTTGCCAGACAGATGGCTGATCTGCTGCGACAAAGCAAGCCCTACATGTTTTTGAAGGAAGGAAAAATCTACGATACCAAAGTGATCGCAGCTAGCTATGTACGTGCTTTCTTCCTGCTCTGATCAGCTATCCTCACAGACTGTTGTCAGAGAGCAGGAAACAGAGGACCTGCTCAGCTTTCACCATGTGAAGATGTACGGTCACATCGTGCCCACAGTGGGAGGGCTAACAGGACAGCTTGCAGCCTCGGTCATCCCTGGAGGAGCAGAGTACGGTACTGCTTAGAAGATGACCCGGGCCTGCCTCAGCCCACAAGGACCTGCTGCCGAGAGGAAGAGACAAGATATATAAAGCAAGTGGTCTGGAAGAGGCAAGGTAGCAGTTAGCCATATCCCCTGCTTCCTCTGCTTGCACATTTATTCCGGAGGCACTCTCTTCTCTTTGGCATAATTTTGCATTCTCTGTTACCCTTCAGAAATCACGAGCTGTCCTTGCTTCTGGCTCAGTCTGGGAGGGAGGGATCCACTGAAAGCAGGCAAAATCTGGAGAGCAGTGACGCTCCTCTTGAACCCAGTGAAATACTACATTGCTACAAGAAAATACTTTCGGGGAAACTACCGTTTTGTATTTGCTAGCTGGGGCTTCCTTTGATTCCTGTTTGATCACAATACGAATGATGAGGCACTGTTGGCTGCTAATTCCTGTAGGCACCCTTCCTCTTTTGGAAACTTACCAACAACCATGGTGAAACTCTGCATAGGCACAAAAGATCCATTCTGGATCTTTATTTACTTTGTGGTAGCCAATTTCAAATGCTCCAGGAGGAAGGAAGAGTAAGTTCTTACCACGGAGCATCCTATCTGGGACTTTTTTTTTTTTTTTTGGACAATGGGATTTAAAATAAAACTTGAATTATACTGCTAACAGGAGTGAACATTTCTAAACTAGATCTTTGAATTAAAAAGAAAACCCTCTTACTAAGTAATATTAATCACCTCAAAAAGACAGCTCCAAGTCAGCTCATATACTACATATTAACCTTCCATTGTGTCCCCGTGCCTTAATGTTAAGATCATCCTACATATTGCTCATCTATACTCACAGTAGAGTTGGGCATGGCTTCGTCAGCAGCTGGAGGAGCTAGCTTGACCTAAATATTTTGAATCTTGTAAGTTCAAATACATGTAGTCAGAATGAGTGTCTGGAGCATAGCTTTATCTGCAGATGGATCAGCATGACATCCTTCCTGGGTCCTAAGGGTTCTGAAGAGGCACTACAAGGATCTCTCTAGCTTCCTGGGAACCAACCATATTATTTGCTCACTCAGACACCTAAATTTATAGCTCAGTATTTAGGCTGATCACGCACAGCGTGACACTGAGTTCATAAACTAGGAATTATTACATCGTCATCCACCCATGTGAGGTTTTCCTTCTGTAAGAACCATCATGCAGAGAATATCGTTCATCAGTGAAGTAATCTAATTTTAATAGTTGTTCCTGTATATTAGGAATAGTCCTCATTGTATTTAACTGTTTATGAAAAGAGCATAAGTGCATACAGTGGAGAAGATTGACCACAGAGAGATGAAAAGGAGTCTGCAGTGCAGAGCTATCATGTGGTGAAAGGGGTCAATAACACAGAAGTTGTATTATGTCTGTTTTAAGTCATCCATGCTGTTCTTTCCCCTTGTGTGCACATAAGAAGAGGTGGAGCTCTGCCAGAGGAATACTGTTTCACCACAATAGTGATGTTTGTGCTTGCGCTATAGCAATACCAAAGAAAAAGGTAATGGCTCTAGCAATAAATCATAAACATACAATGAAGAGAAGAACCTCCACTCTGTAAACATTTGCAACAAAGCTATAGTAACAACTCTTGTTAAACCCAAAGCTATACAATAATAAAAAGGCACTTACCACCATCCTGGTGTGAGAAACTCTGTGAAGGGAAAAAATAAGATGTTTGGTTTTATATTTTGGATATAATTTGCATGAAGTCTTGACTTTTATGCTAGGCTTGCTTTTATGGTTCTTTGTAATCTTTAAATGGGTAACTGGGGATGTGGCTCCTTACGCTTACGTGCCATTTGAGGCTGAGGGAGAGGGACATGGAGTAACTAAAAGGAGAACATTGCTGTTTGTTGCAGGCTGTAACGTTCAGAAGTGGCGTTTGTGGCAAATGCCACTGTCTCTGGGTGCCACTGGGAGCAGGGAAGTTTGAGATGCCTTTCAGGATCCTGCTGGCATCTTTCAGTGGGGCCAAAAGCTCACGTTATTTTCCCCGCAGATAAGCTATGGAGATAGTCTTTGAAATCCCTCTTCAAAAAAAGCTGGAGTGGGAAGGGGAAAACCAAATAACCCAACCAAAATAGATCTGACGCCTCGATATCTTTTCTAGTCTTGTTCATCCTGGTTTGAGCTATGTGCTCTGCAACTGCCCTCAATCTTCCCATAAGTACGTGAATTATAACTGCTACTTTCAAACAGTGCCAGGAGTCTACCTTGGTTTCAACCTGTGCCTGAGTGTCTTTTTTTTTTAAATACCTTTTGCAAGTTGTCGAAGGACTTCTCAGTCTCCTTTAGTTTCTCCAAAATGATTTGTTCTTTGGCAGATATTTGGGATTCCTCACTTTCTAATTTTTGTATTTCTTGTTCCAGCCTGTGGAAGACATACAGACATGGACATACACACAAAAATAAAACACGTAAAAATTATTTCAATGAGCCATAGTTTTCTAGGTATTAATTAACATTTCAAATGTCATCAGGAACAACTTTCACTCTTGTTATTCACAACTGCTTTTTTAGTGCATGAAGGGCATGTGAATTATTTGTAAAACAGACAGATCTATTTAAAAGAAAAATGGTAATTGTCTTATTAGCCACTTCTGCAAAAGCATGTACAGATTAACTAAAAATATACATCAGTATTCCTTCACCCCAATTCCTGTAACATCTCTCAGATATGCACTTTCACTTTAGAAATCACAGTACGGGATATAACCATAAATATGCAGTGATAATTAAAGGAATAGGTATCTTCTAATGCTTCCGTACTCCAGACAATGAAACTGGAAATAGTTGTTGGAAACTGGCAGTCAGCCAGTTGTGTTAGGAATTTCTCTTGAACCATTACTTTGCTCACTCCTGACAATAACATTTTGGGATATCCATCCATGCTTTCTACTGTTACTGCATGGTACTGGGGACCCCAGAGGCTTCAGGTAATAAAATACACAGGCTGCTCAGAAAATAAACTTATTTTGCTAGTCAGTAAGCATTCAGCACTCTTGTTTGTCTTGTCAAGACCTAATGGCACTCACTGCTTAAGATGTATTGATTGTGATTTGGGATACACTTCAATCAGGGTTAGATTCTCCATTACTTTAACTCAAACCTCCTTTTATTGACATGATTTATGCAGGTGCAGAAATATTCCCTCTTTCTCTCTATTTTTATGTATACCACCACCTTTATTTTCTCACTTTTGAAGAAAAAAAAAAATCTGTAATATGAGCTAAGATGAACACTTCTGAACAGGCATAGTTACCTAAAACTCCCTTTGTCTACAGAAAGAGCTGTAGCTGCTTACAGCTTGTTGGACCGTATCTCTTCGAATACGAAACATCCGCACTGCCCACTACTGCTTGCTCCTGCCTTTCTGCCACCACTTCTCAAGCAAAGGATCGGGGCACTGATCCAAGCTAAAGGGACACACTTTTGCTCTTTGCTAGCCCTGCTCAGCACAGGACTTCATTAATGCTTGTTCGATCACAAAGCAAAGAGCAAGGACAAGGTGACAGTGAGCAGGTAGGGAGGAAGGAGGGGGGGATTGCTCCTTTCAGGGGCTTGACAGCTTGAGTTACTTGTGAAATTCATGTGTCTAAATATAGATGCAAGGGTCTAACTTAAGGCACCCACCTGGGAAATTTTTCCCCACTTTCTAATCGTGCAAGGATGAAAGATGTGTGGCACTTGCTGATAACGCTTTTCATTAGAGGGAGGCGAAAATGTCACAGCCTCAAGTTGTTGCAGATGGAAAAAGGCAGATTTTACTTTCCTGAATTATGTGAATATTTAATAGTCTCAAACTCTTGGTGGTCTGTCGAACCGCCGTTTCTCTCTCTTGAAGGCAACCCCCTCATCTCCAAGTTGAAATGGCTTAATTGTAGTGATTTTAAAATGAACTGTTGGAAAGTACTGCTCCAATCCACTTAATATCTTCTCCAAATTATTATAAAAATTTTAAAAATGCAAAATATTTTGAAACAAATTTTTTTTTTTGCTGAAATGGAACAATTTGATACAGGATGAATTTTCCCCATTATGTTGTGATTTAAGGAGAGAAAGCTTTCAAAAAATACTGTTTTCTCTAGACTTTTCTTCCCAGGAAATACCTAGTGAAGTGAAAAAACCATTTGTCACTGAGGTCAACCATTGCCATACTCCTACTTAATGAATTTAGAAGTCAACAGGAAGGTGGCTTCTTTTCCTTCCCTATCCCTCGGAACGATTAGTAGATCCACACACATTTATACCTTGCTGATAAAGACATTTGAAATATTCTGCTGTGCTGTCTGGTGAAATTACATTGTGGAGCTGGGTGAGTTGCGGTTTACTGCTATGTTTCTTTTCTTCCCAAGTGAATCACTACGCAGCATTTTCGTGCTGGTACATTTTGATTGCTACATGATCCAGGATGAGACTAGAAAATGGGAGTACATAAAAGTCAGCAACAACAAAATACAGGGGAAGGAAGAAGTCCTTTTTCTTTCAAATGAACTGGACATCAGTTAATAATTTATGACAATGAAAACACTGTGAGCATACGTGTGTAAGGCAACTCATTTGATGTCAGTAAGGTTATAAGCAAGTAGACTTCTTGAAATTTGCGGTGATCATAAGTGCACCATTTTTTGTGCACCAGCTCAAAACTGTAGAAGGTTTGTCATGAATTGTTTGTCTTCCAGAGAAAGTTTACTTCTAATGCATGCACGTGTGCACTTGCACATGCACACCCAGAATTGATTTGATTTATGTTTTCTTACTTTCTGGCTACTTGGTCTTTTGTTTTTACTTGTTTATGTCGCTTTTATCTTCCTTTCCTGGTTCACTTCTTCAGTTTCTGCTTCATCCGTGCCAGCCTACTCTCACCATTAAAATGAGTTGGGCAGATGCAACACTAGGTTATCCTATTTTGATAACATGTCTTGGTTTTTTTCCTGAATCCCTTCTTCAGTTCCTTTCAGAAGTGGTATTAACAACAACTTACTAAAGACGAAAGGGATGGAGACAGAGCTGCCAGGATTTAGAAGCATGGGTTGGTAAGGACACAGAAGTTGGTAAGGACACAGATTTCCCACGTGACACTGAGTAAGAATGCATACATACTCATCCCATAGGTACAAATTGCCCTTTTTCCAATGAAATCAGTGCAAGTAGAATGAGAGTCTCCCAGGCCCTGTGTAGAATGGGTCTGAATTCCTAATAGTGGCAGGAGAAATGTGGATCATTCAGCCAGAATGTACCTGTTACATATCACAGTGGTTGTATACCAAGCATTAATATCCACAGGAGGTTGCTTTATACCATTTTGCTCAATTTTATGCCATTCTCGTCTGTACTCTCTAGGCTTAAAGGCTGAGGTAATGCTGCTGAGGTACTGAGGCAAGAGAAATACTCAAGGGCACAGTTTCCATGTGAGCTGTTGTATACATTAATCAGTAAACCACCTAGGCACTACAGACCTAACTGGAAAATTTGGACCTAGAGACTTCAGCACTTCCTTTGGGCTGCCTTTTTACTTAGGGGTCAGCAATGCAAAAATTAAAATCATAATGCAAACTGAAGGTTGTTTTGCACCCTTTATTTTTTTAGTGAGCTTCATATCATCAGAATTGCAGAGTGATAAGGAGAACGGCCTGCTTTTTTAGTAACAAGATACAACAGAGACATGCAAATTTGGTCTGAAAAACAAGATGCACTAATATCACATCTGTTTTGAGCAACATGCTATATAATGGTTTAAACAGTAATAAATCCATTCAGAGTGCACATGTACACGTACGTACATACACAAAGTGCTTACATTCTTCTTGTGTAAACCTGTTAAATATTCAATAGTGGCCTTTTCTTCCAGCCCAGTTTAAAAAGGATGTGCATTAATTGTCATTTGACACCTGGCAGGGAAACCCTATAATTCCCTTGTTCCTGGCTTCTTAGCAGATTTCAGGCTGGCATTTGAAAGACGGCCACAACAACAAAGCCAATTAAATAAACAACTACAATATTTGGAGTGCTGTAGAGAAAAAATAAGAAAGAAAACAGAGATCCTGAGGAGGCAGAAGTGGTGTAAGACAGACCGTTAATATTGCTGCTTATTGGCCCAAGCAGTTATCTGATCACCAGGATTTGCTAAACTGCTTATATAAGGAGAAAAAAACGCATCAGGGAGTCCAGAGTTGCTTTTGCAAGGGCGTGTGTTTTCAGTGGATATACACAGAGCTCCGTTTCCCTGAATACCACAAGCAGGGGACATTTCGCTACTCAGAAAGCCAAGCCCGCCTTCTTGCTAGTGTATCTGTCCCGCAGCTTTCTTTAATGGACGGCTGCCATAAGCACCTGAGGGTGTAACAGGATTTTCAGGGGGGCTGAGAAGAGCTGTCCATGTAAACCAGGTGACCCTCAACCTCACATTAATGGTGCTGTCCTGCTGTGAAGGGAAAGAAACCACGAAGAGCAGAAGAGATGCTGTCTCCTGGACAGCATTTTGCTGTCATTTGGGAGCACCCTGATTCCTTGGTTAGTAAGATTACAGGCTCGTAGGATTATTCAGGCTGGAAGTGACCTCAGAAGGTCTCTAGCCCAAGCTCCTGCTCAAAGCAGGGTCTGCCATGGGATCAGACCAGGATGCTCATGACCTCTTCCAGTTGGGGCTTGAAACTCTCCAGTGATGAGAGAAAAAAAAAATTTAAGGCTACTCGCAGGCTTTCTCTTTTATAGTCTGCAGCTATCAGACATCATGCCCTGTAAAATTCAGACCAGAACCATTCAGTACTGCAGGGGAAGGGGATGCACCACACTGCTAAAGGAAGTCAAGGCCCGAGGTGTTTGGATATAGGGCTCTGTTTTGTGCTCCAGCCTGAAGATGATGAATGCACTTTCTCTAGGTGAAAGATTTCCTCTGTTTCCCATGCTAAGATGTTGAAACCCACAAACTTGGGCGGTCATTTTTCTCTCTGCTGAAAGGCAGAGGCTGTTCTGGCACAAGGTGCCTTTACTTCAACCCAGGAGGGATCCGCAGCAGGATTCTGCAGGGCACTCACACAGCTGGTGCAGAGTCACGCTGCTTTGCAATAGGAGCACACAAATCCCAAGTAAGCAGAACTATGCCTGAAGAAAACAGCCTCCTCTATCCAGCTAATTAACTCTGGCAGACACGATTTCTAGAGATACCTATATTTGGCTCAGCAGTGTTTTGTTTTTCGGGGTGGGATGGTAACAGCATTATAAACAGGGAGAACAGCTGCTGCTTTATGGACCAGTTTCTTTAGGCTGTACTAGGTCTGCATGCTAGGTTGCACCTGAGGAATACTCATGTCATTTCTGCAGTGAAGATAGAAATGTAACAGAAGTTATGTCTGCAGCATACACACTGAC